GAGAGAGAGAGAGAAAGAGAGAAAAACTTGGAGTCCCGTAACGTTGCGCGAGTCCACAGAAATCCATCTCCATCGTTTTCCGACCCCCGGGTTTATCGTGCAAAAGCCATTTAAAGTCGTCTCGTTAACACAATTCCCGGGACGATAAGAAGTTGGAACGAGTGTGTACCGCGCATCTGCATCGCCGACTCGATGGCCGGAAATCCCAACTTATATTCTTTCTTTCTTTTTTTTTCTTCTTCTTTTTTACCATCGTGTTGCAGATAGAGAATCTAAAAGTGGAACGACGCGGTCGATAAAAAGTGGCTCACTTTCGATGCCGTACGAAACTTTCTTATCTTATCCGCCATCTAAAACCGATCTTTATCCATCGTGCCCGTCGTAAAACGGACGGGAATTCCGCGAAAGTGTGTTTATTGTAAGGAAGGAGAGAGGGGATAGGGGATAATTAGAGATAAGTGGGCGTAATTGGCGTAAACTTTCGTTCCACGGTGTGTTCTTTCTTCTCGAGTGGACGTTTTATTTTTCCTTTCTTCTTTTTTCAATCGACAACCGCGACCTCTTCTTTGTCTTGTTAATTCCTTTGTCGACCGTGCGTGGCGCGTGCGTGGCGTGTAATCGCCGAACGAGAGACGACGACGACTCGTGGGAAAATCTATCTCGATCAATGGATCTTTGTAATTGAACGTAAATTTTTAAATATCGTCGATAAGGATCGAGCGAGAAATCGGATGATCGAGCGAATAGCCGCGCGTGAAAGGACCGATCGAAGGCGACGAAAGAACGTATCCGGAGAAGTTTACGAACAGATGTCATTAATCAGGAAAGGGTTCGCCGAGGAGAAAACGGAGAAATGTCCAAGCTTATTCTCTCTTTTTAATAACGTTTTAACGCCATCAACGATGGAAAGTCCGCTACTTTTCGCGTATCACTTTCGCGAAAAACTCGTCCTCAATCCCAAACCTATTCGTTAATCGTTATTTGAAAAATAAAATCCTGTGAGAAGGAAGGAAAAATGGAGGAGGGATAATTTTTCGTTGATCTCGTTGAAGGCTTGATCGATAATAATGGTCGATAACCCTCGTTGTATCCCGTAGACATAAAATCCTCGAAGCATAGGATACACATATATATCGCCGACCTAGTTACACGCACACACACACACACTGACTACTTTCGTTTGTGTATCGGGCAGAGGCGCGCGAGAAGAGGAGATGCCAACGAATAATCGCTCGTTTCATCGATGATCGGTCAAAGTGCTTCCCTTGTTCGGCCGATCTCTCCTCACTTTCGTCGAGTCGAAGAGACTTTCGATGTAGAATTCAATAGAATGATACAAACTCGTTTATAATTGTAAAAAAATATGAATGAATAAATAAGATAGCTACTTTTACGCTCGGAGTTTCTACACTTCTGTTTCTCCGCCTTTTATTTTTATTATCCTATCCGTTTGGAGAAAGTTGAACATTGCTAGCAGTTGGCTTCAATTTTTCAAGGAAAATTATTCGCATCCGTTTTATTTAACGCTGTTACCTTCATCTGCTACCGTTTTTTCTTTCTTTTTTTTTTTTTTTTTTTATTCAAGATCAGAGGGGAGATTGGCAGGGAACGTTGGTACAATCCCTCTTCTTCACCGCCTTGAAAACTTCGTGGAGACCACTCTTTTTCGCCGTTGCAGTCGATGTTCTAGCGGTAAAAAAAAAAAAAAATAAAGAAAAAGATAAAAATTGCGTCAAAGCGATATTATCGATAGATCATAAATAAATTCATGAATTCGTGCCACTATTGTTTTATGTTTTCGCGTGTTGGAAATCGAAGAAGAAAAAAATTGGAACCGGTTTTTTAAAAGCAAAATTGTCCTCTTTTCTTTTTCTTCTTTTTTTATCCCATATAATTAGAAAGATAATAAAAGAATCGGCTCTAGACGGATTATATAAATGCTTTAAACACTGCCCTCGTTGTTCCACTTCTGTAATTGCATAGATGGCAATCAGTCGTTAAGCCGTTAAAAAAGTGCTCTTCCGACGAAATGCTCGACTGTAAACGAACGCCGTTTTAATAAGCCGATTTTAAACGTTCCATTTAACGTCAATCTTCATCTTTCATCACTCTATCCATTCTAGGTTATTTTTCCATCGAAGCAGAGAGTTAAAATCAACCGATTTATTATTTCTCTCTCTCTTTCTCTCTCTCTCTCAATCCTGGGAAATAACGATTACCTCGTTGCCAAATTCCACAAGATATTCTGCAACACGGTCGATCCAGCGTCTCCGCCAGCCAGGATCACATAACAGATAGATCTCTCCTCGCAATCCGTGTCCGTGAATCGCGCCTGTTTATGCTCGACCGGTAGGTCAGCGACCCTCCATTTCGACAGGACGATATTAGGCTGGCTGGAAGGAGCACGTTTTAGAGAACTCGGCTCGATTGTTTTAGGAAAACCTAGTTGTAAAAAAAGTACTAGACTCACGTAGCGTTGTCAACTTTGACCACGTTCGGAGTGAGGGCAGCAATGAGCAGGCCCAGTGGCAGAATCGTGCCAATCAAGTGGAGGATCTTCGTCCAGGGTGACGCTCTGTCGAAACGTGACGATTGAAAATTAAACTGCTGCGAATAATGGATAAAAAGAGAGACATATATATATATATACCTTTTCTTAACGGGATAAGATGGACGAGACGCATCGTTGACGAGATCGATCTGTTGATATCCAACGTGTGGCTGATAAATGGTGTAAGGAAACTTTCTGGTTCTGGTGAACGACGATTCTTGGACGTAAACCAGCCCGTCGCTCGGCTTCTTCGACGAAAAGAGGAAATCCTCGTGCAAACTCGACTGAGTCGGACTCTGGTGATCCGAATAAAAAGCTCCCGAATGAAACGGCGCGTTCAATCCGCTTGTTAAATCCGCGATCTCGGGCTTCGGCGACTCGCCCTGAAACTTGGACGGTTTCCCCCATACGTGGCTCGTTCCCTGCTCGAAAACCTGTTGATCCTGCGAATCGAACAATTGCGTGTCGGTGAACGGTCGATGGAACGCGTGGACCTCCTTGGACGCGCCATCGTATCCCCCAACCTCGAACGCCATGTCACGAAACTTGACACGTTGATCCTCGCGCCCTGCGTCTTTCTCCATCGACGATCCAACAACACCGGTTTCGTGCAAATTTTGACGGGAATCTCTTTGATCGCCGGTGTTTCGATTAATCGGCTGGAACACAAGTTGAAAGTGTTTCGAGTGCTCGTCGTACGACTCGGTGTCCCTCGTCGTCCCTCCGTCGTCCAAGTCGAAATGGCGCAGAGCGTTGAAGGGATTGTTGATCGCGATTCTGGATTCTTTGATCTCGCCGAGATGCAGGCTCGGTCGAAATTCTTTTTCAGTGACGTTCTTCTCGTTGAACTCTCGATGAGTTTCCATCGTGGTGGTGGCGATGGAGTCCGTGGTCGATCCCAAAGAGAATCGATCCTCTTCCTCCTCCTCCTCGGTGGAAGAGGATTCGTGGACCGGCTTCGCTTCGAGTCGCTCGTTTCGAGTTGCGTTTCTGGTTTCGTGACCGCGGGTCAGAAGCAAGGCGAGAAGGAATAAGAGTGCCGTCTTGCTCGACGTTCGACGATTCATGGCGTGCTCGGTTGCACGACTAAACAGGATCTTTGCCGTTTCGCCGTTCTTTAACTCGGCGAGAAACCGTCATTAACGCGAGTTTCTCTAAAAAGCGTGAAGGCGAAATTATATCGTCTCGTTTAATCGTCAGCTTTACTCCAATTGTTGGGAACACGCCGCTTAGTTCCATTAGACGAGGTGTGGGAAGGTGTTGAAAGAGCAGGATTTTGATTATTGCACATCGTTCGTATCGAATAAACGATTAACGTTTAAAACGGAAATGGGATTCGAATAGACGGAGTTCTGTATAAGGCGGAGTTGATTAGTTAAAAATGATTCGATTCTAGAAATATTATCGAAGTAACTTGATCCAATTCACACGCATTTTTATCTCTATCATGGTATTCGTCACATATATATTAACCCAAAATCAACTTTTATTCCAAAGTTGGGCTATTAATTAGTTATTAAAATGACGTTGAATAACATTTATTCGTAGCCCTTATAGTTGATCCGTTTGCCATTATTTCCAATTGTTATTACGTTTCGAACGATAAATTATCGATAGCAATTTTATTCGTAAGTTCGATCATTGAATTTTCCCCATCACTGAATGATGGAAAGAAATCTCACTGAAGGAATGCGGATCTGATTGATTAATTTAAAGAGAAATGTCTATTTTCACGCATTTTTGTCCCTATCGTGGAATTCGTCACGTATACTGATCCAAAATCGACGATTTCTATCGAGAACTGTATAATCCGTTGAAAAATTTGGAATAAAATACTTTACTTATTAAAATATTTGAATAAAACATTTATTCATAGCCCTTATAGTTGATCCGTTTGGCATTAAAATTATTTCCAATTTTTATTACGTTTCGAACGATAAATTATCGAAACAATTTTATTCGTAAGTTCGATTATTGAATTTTCCCCATCACTGAGTGGAAAGAAATTTCACTGAAGAAATGCGATTAATTCGTCGCATATGCTGATCCAAAATCGACGATCTCTATCCACAGTTAGACATTAACTAGTTAAAAATGAATACAATTGACTCGATCCGTTGTTTCCAATTATTTTACATTTCGAACGATAAATTATCAAAGTAATCGTAGTTTCGATTATTAAATTTTCCCCATCACTGAGCGAAAAGAAGTCTGGAGTGGAAGGAATGCGACTCTGACTTAGCTAATTCGGAAAAAAATTATTTTCACACCCATTTTTCTCTCTACCATGGTATTCGTCACACAATCGATCCAAAATCGATAATCTGTATCCAGAATTGACCCGTTGAAAAAGTAACCAGCCAATAAACAAGTTAATAAAGAAAAAGTAAAGAAATAAAGTAATACTTTAAGTAATCGTTATATATCGGCTGTTTGCCATTAAAATAATTATTTCCAATTGTTATTACGTTCCGAACGATAATTTATCGAAGCAATTTTATTCGATCATTGAATTTTCCCCATCACTGGCGCAAACGTGTAAATTATAACACCTTTCTGCGGATTATCAATCGGATAATTATCCGTGATGGTGTTTTCACCGTGGCGAGTATTATGAACGGACGGGCAGAGAGGTCGGAACGAAAGTGGCCGGAAAAATAAGGAGGAAAGGACAACCGCGAAAGGGGATAGCCTAGATGTCGGGGACGATATTCACGCATCGACGACCAGTTTCCATGGAAAGTATCCATCGCGGGGATAATGAAACGTTTTTACTACGTCGGGGAACGCGTGTTAACGCGAGGAGTCACGAAAACGCACAGAAAGCGTGGTGTGACCGACCAGCTTGTTTTACATCGGATTTCTCGAAAGGATTCTGGGACGCTTTTCACGCCGTAAGAAAAAAAAAGAAAAAGAAAAAAGAAAAAATCCCCACCAACAATAGAATAATGATCGTTCGATCATATTTTCCTACGATCTTCAATCTTTTCTCTTTCTCTCTTCCGTCTCACTTTTCTCTTCCTTCCTTATCCGCAGGAAAATTTCTCCATTCTCGTCGCGAAATTTCCCGACAATTTCTTCCAACCTCGAATTACCTTTATCGTCATTTTAAAGCGTCGTTTTAAACGAGATCCACGCTTGTTCGAAAACTTCGAAAGATTACTCTAGTTTCGTCCAACATTGCAAAGATTAAGATATATGTTTATATATTCTTCGAAGAAATCGATAAACCAGAGAAAAAGAGAGAGAGAGAGAGAGAGAGAGAGAGATGATCGTCAAGGAAGAAACGGATTCTACGAGGCGAAGAGAGGACTAGAGGAGGGGAGAGGGGAAGGAAAAAGAAAAGAAAAAAATGTTTTATTACACGGAACATGGGGAAAGAGCGGAAAGGGGGTGAAAAGACTTTCTAAGGCGAGTTTTATCAGCGAGCGGCGAGAGTCTGGCCTTGTTTCGCGCAGAGGTCAAGTCGTGGCTAGGAGAACTGGTCGAAGCAGATGTCGGAGATTCGAGATAAACGATGCACAATACCTGCTCTTCGTGACCGAACAGTCGTCGCTTCCGTCTCTCTTTTAATTATCCACGCTTTGAAATATCTTCGAATCTCTTCTCTATATGTATATATTCACAGTTTCTTCCTCTCCGTTCTCCATCTCTCTCTCTCTCTCTCTCTGCAGAGGAAGTCTAGAGAACGATATTCGTTGCGATGTGTATACCTTTCGGATCGGCCGACAACGAAAGTAGACGTTCCCCGCGCTCGACCCGACTCCCCGCCTCTCTCTTTTCCAGTTTACGAGTTCTGGTGCTCGTTTTCGCGGTTATCTACGCCGATGGAGAACGACCCAATTCCGGTTTCGAGTAGGCCACCCGACCGCATCGTCGCACCGGAAGGGAAAAATCCATCCGTCGGAAGTCCATCCAACCGACTTGTCCCTTCCTCCCCTCTCCCGATCCTCAAATTCGTCGATTTATCCCGAATCGAATGTTAGAATCGATCTATGTAGAAAAAAAGAAAAAAAAAAAGAAAAGGAGGAAGAATGCAGATATAAATATATATAAAAAGATGGAAAAAGAAGCGAGAGAGAGAGAGAGAGAGAGAATGTTGCGGAATCACCGAACGAATTCCTCCGCGAGGAGGTTTGTGGGTCGAGGATGCAGAAAAATGGGAAAA